CGTTGTCTGTGACTACTTCTTCTGCACCCATCAAAATTTCAGGCAAGAAGAAGGAAGAAAGTAAGGGTTCATCTTCGAGATTTGTCAAGAAATATAAACCCACTTTGAAAGAGCTTCAAGCTAAGAATTACCCTTTCCCAGACTCTGACTTGTCTGGCATGTTAGACAAATTGTTGGAAAACAAAATCATCGAGTTGCCTGAGTTAAAGCGCCCTGAGCAGATGAACAAGAAATCTGATCCCAATTATTGTCTGTATCATAGGTTGATTAGTCATCCTATTGAAAAGTGTATAACACTTAAGGAGAAAATTATGCAATTGGCAAATGATGGGACAATCAAGCTAGATGTCGACGAGCCAGTGACATCAAATCATGCCTCGGTAGCTACTGAACCATCATTTCAGGCTCAAGATTTGCAATTTGGAAGTTTGGAGCCTGTGATCATACTTGTTAAGAGTCAATCTAATCAACACGAAGTCTCATCTCAGGTTGAACACCAAACACATGTTAACTACCGAGATGAAGATGATGACGAAGGGTGGACATTGGTGACTAGGAGAAGGCCAAGGAAACAAGTGCATAATCCTAAACCACAACCTTTTCATCGCAAAAGAAAGCAACAAAAGAAGAGGAAATCCAAGCATTCAAAGGGTAAAAAGAAAGCAAAAAAGGTCAGCAAGCAAAAGGTCCTCCCTATTGATTTGCCTGAGCAAGAGCCGTTGTCTCCTGTAACTTTGGAGGAATATTTCCCGAAAGACTACTTTACTGTGGTTACGGCGAATATGCTTTCATTTGTGGAAAGTAAGGAGGAACAAGTTGATGATGATACATCAACAAAATCAGTTGTACAACAATCCGAGGTGATAGTAAATCCAAAAATATCTATTGTCTTGGATGCTCTTCCTTCACGCATGCGATGGAGGCAAATTTTTCATTTGCCTAAAGAAATGTGTCAATAGTTATCTCTTGCACTTCAACACCCAGAGTTGTATGCCGATAAGGTGAAAAATGCTAGAAAACCTGCGGAAGATGCCACGAAATATGTGTCGTGCAACGCAGCCTTGGCGTTCACATATGATGATTTGTTGATGGGGTCAAAACCCCACAATAGACCCTTGTTTGTGTCAGGGTACATCCGTGAACCAAAAATGAGTCGCATTTTAGTTGATGGTGGATCTGTTGTCAACATCATGCCAAAATCCACTATGATAAAGTTAGGAATCAAGATGGATGAACTCTCTAGCAGTCGCATAGTGATCCAAGGATTTAACCTTGACAGTCAGCGTGCAATAGACATAATACGCCTAGAACTCACAATGGGAGAGTTAACATCATCAACTCTCTTTCATGTGATTGACACAAAGACATCATACAAAATGTTTCTAGGACACCCTTGGTTGCATGAGAATGGTGTGGTAGCATCGACCCTCCATCAATGTCTCAAGTACTATCGTGGAGGCGAAAAGAAGATAAATGGGGATGTCAAACCCTTTAGCAAAGTAGATTCTTACTTTGCTGACACCAAGTTTTTTGAAGAAGAAGGCGTCAAGTGAGATACTACCTTCCCAAGTCCTTTCAACAGGAAAAAGAGAAGTTAAGGAGAGCATTGCTTTGGTTTCAAATGACAAAAAGATATCTCCTGTTGAGTAGAAGTCTCAACAAAAGGTAGAAGTGGACGAAATTAGCTTGTCATAAAAGAAAAGCCAAAGTTGTCAACTCCTATTTTGCGATACATCCCAAAATCACGTCGCAAGGAGGGAGAATCACCTTTTGTGTGTCGAGAGGTTAACCTTGATGCTAAGGTAGCGAAGCCAATTGATGACACTACTCTCCAAAACTTGAAGAGTAAAACCACTGTACCATTGGGTAAAGGCGCGCAAAGCCCAATTTCTAAGTTATCAACAGAGTCATCTAAGGCAAAAGAGCTTAACAAAGCAAAGTCCAATCAAAATGCATACAAGCTATTAGCAAAGGCAGGATATGACTTTGAAAACCCAACACCTATGGGTAAGGTCATAGACATTAAACCCAACGGACTCAATGATACTCAGAAGAAACTGCTTGACTATGGCTCTAGTTATCAAGAATCCAAGGCAGGCCTAGGGTTTCAGCGCCCCAAACCAATCAAAATTGGTGTATGGCACAAAGTAGACGCTTCTTCCTCACAGTACATTAATGCCGAAGAACTCAAGGAAGGTGAAGGTGAGAACGATGTTCCCACACACAGAACTTCTGTATTTGATCGACTTCAACCATCTACTATGTGGAATCATGTCTCAGTGTTCGATAGGCTTGGAGAATGTGACCATAGGGTAAAAGAAACTTCAAGTTCGCAACCCTTAAGACAAAAAGTATTTGTCTTTAACCGCGTAGGCATGACGAATGCCTCTAGCAAAGAACAAAGACAGTCAGCTTTTAGTCACATAAAGAAAAGGGAAGACAATGTCATGAAAAATGATGAGTCGAAAAGTGTTGTTCCCTCTCGCATGAAAAGAAAGCAAGACATAGATATCACTGAGAAACAACCTTTAAAGACAAGAGTTCGCACTGTGGTTTTCACTAACCAAAATGAGTCGTCAGACCATGCTATAGAGGAACATAAGGAGTTTTTTCCACAAACCATGTGACGGTTGAAGAGGTGCCAAATCCCGACGAGGAAATAGAAACTAATGAAGATCCCAAGACACTTGAAGACGGGGGGGCAAGCAACAGTAGATGAGTTAAAAGAGTTAAACCTTGGCACTTTTGAAGACCCACGCCTTATATACATTAGTGCTCTTCTTACCCAAGCGGAAGAACAAGAGTACTTCAAATTACTCTCTAAGTAGAAAGATGTCTTCCCATGGAGTTACAAAGAAATACCAGGTCTTAACCCAAAAGTCGTCGTCCATCGATTAGCAATTAAAAAAGGTGTGAGTCCAAAGAAGAAATCACAAAGGCGATTCAGGCCAGAGTTGATCCCGAAAATTGAATCTGAGGTAAACAAACTCATCGATGCAGGGTTCATTCGTGAAGTCAAATACCCTACATGGATAGTAAACATTGTCCCTGTGAGGAAGAAAAATGGGCAACTGTGAGTTTGTGTGGACTTCCGCGATTTGAATGAAGCATGTCCCAAGGATGACTTCCCACTTCCAGTCACAGAAATCATGATCGATGCCACCACTAGACATGAAGCATTGTCATTTATGGATTGCACACCTGGATACAATCAAATTCACATGGCACTTGAAGATCAAGAAGCCACGGCATTTCGCACCCCAAAAGGGATATTTTGCTACAAAGTCATGCCATTTGGTTTAAAAAATTCCGGGGCCACGTATCAACGTGCAATGCAAAATATCTTCGAAGATATGATGCACAAAATTGTGGAGTGCTATGTGGACGATTTAGTGGTTAAGTCTAAAAAGAGGGAGGATCACCTAGGTGACCTTCGCAAAATCTTTGAAAGACTACGCAAATGTCAATTGAGAATGAATCCTCTCAAATGTGCATTCGGTGTTACCTCAGGAAAAATTTTAGGCTTCATCGTAAAACATAGGGGAATTGAAATTGACCAAACCAAAATTAAGGCAATTCAAGAAATGCCTGTACCACGAAATCTCAAAGAACTTCGCGGTCTCCAAGGGCGCCTTGCATATATTCGAAGGTTCATCTCCAATCTTACAGGAAAACGTCAAACATTAAGTCATCTCATGAAAAAGGATGCTCCATTCAAATGGGATGAATCATGTCAAAAAGCGTTCGACAATATAAAGAAGTATTTGTCCTCTCCGCCTGTTTTGGGGGCACCAGTTAAAGGAAAACCTCTAATCCTTTACATAGCTGCTCAAGAAAGATCATTGGGGGCAATGTGTGCTCAAGAAATTGAAGATCGCAAGGAGATAGCTCTTTATTACTTGAGTCGAACGTTGGTGGGTGCTGAGCTGAATTATTCACCAATTGAAAAAATTTGTCTTGCGTTAATTTTTGCCATTCAAAAGTTGAAGCATTACATGCAAGCTCATACAGTCCATGTCGTCTCAAAAGCCGACCCAATCAAGTACATCCTCTCAAGACCAGTGTTGTCAGGAAGACTAGCTAAATGGACTGTACACATCAAACAGTACGATATAATGTTCGTACCACAAAAGTCTGTCAAAGGACAAGCCATCGCTGATTTCTTTGCCGACCATCCAGTACCACCTGAATGGGAGATGTCCGTTGATTTGCCTGGAGAAGATGTGTTTAACATCGAAATACTACCACCATGGCAAATGTATTTTGACGGGGCTGCTCGTCAAGACAGCGCAGGAGCAGGGGTAATCTTTGTGTCGCCCGAAAAGCATGTTTTACCTTACTCAATTGTGCTAACTCAGTTGTGCTCAAACAACATGGCTGAGTACCAAGCTCCTATTATGGGTCTTCAAATGGCGGTTGAAATGGGAATTGAAGATCTTTCGCAACTCGTCATAAGTCAACTTTTAGGCGAATATGAAGTCAATAAAGAGGATTTAATTCCTTATCACAAACATGCATCAAGATTGCTCGACAAGTTTGACATTGTCAAGCTAAGCCATGTTCCAAGGAGTGCCAACAAGATGGCTGACGCGCTTGCTGGTCTCGCAGCCACTTTGGCACTGGGGGCAGAGGAAATCATGTTTGTGCCTGTTTGCAATCGTAGGGTAGTTGCACCTTAAGAATATGAAGTTGAAGATGACGAGGTCGAGGAGGTTGACATGATCACTGTCTGCCAAATTGACAAAGAAGATTGGCGTCAACCAATCATCGACTATTTGGATCACCAAAAGCTGCCTAATGATCCACGACATCGAACAGAAATCCGCCGTCGAGCCTCTCGTTTTATTCTCTTCAAAGGGACTCTTTATAGACGATCTTTTGACAAGATATGACCGAGATGTCTAGAAGATGAAGAGGCAACCAAAACAATAGAGGAATTTTATTAATCTGGTCCTAAGCTTCATGATCGTATCAAAAGAGCAGGGTATTATTGGCCCTCAATGGTTCAAGATTGCATAGAGTTTGTTAAAAAGTGTGAAGCATGTCAATTTCATGCAAACCTCATTCACCAACCTCCAGAACCACTACATCCAACTGTGACATCATGGCCATTCGAAGGATGGGGTCTTGACGTGGTTGGTCCGATCACACCAAAGTCATCTGGTGGTCACGCTTATATACTGGCTGCCACTGATTACTTTTTCTAAGTGGGCTGAAGCTATTCCTCTTCGTGAGGTGAAAAAAGAAAATGTTGTCGATTTCAATCGCACCCATATCATTTACAGGTATGGAATTCCTCAAAGAATCGTCACTGACAATGGAAAGCCATTCGTCAACAACAACCTGATGGATAGCCTTTGCCAAAAGTTTAAGTTCACGCAACATAAGTCATCCATGTACAATGCTCCTGCAAATGGTCTAGCTGAAGCATTTAACAAAACGCTTTGTAATTTGCTAAGCAAGGTCGTTGCAAAGTCTAAGCGTGACTAGCATGAAAAGATAGGGGAAGCACTTTGGGTATATAGGACGACATACAAGAATGCAACACAATCTACCCCATATTTGTTGGTGTATAGTGTTGAGGTTGTCCTACCCTTAGAAGTTCAAATTCCATCACTAAGAATTGCCATTCAAGAGGATTTAACTAGTGATGCAAATGACAAGCTTCGGTTGGCTGATCTTGAAGCATTTGATGAGAAAAGTTTACAAGCTCAATAAAAATTGCAATGCTATCAAGCTCGCATGACACGCGCATTCAACAAAAAGGTTCGACCTCGTTCTTTTCAAGTGGGAGACATGGTCCTGGCAGTAAGAAGGCCTATCATTACTTCGCGCAAAACTGGAAATAAGTTCACATCAAAATGGGATGGTCCTTATGTGGTACGAGAAGTCTACACTAATGGAGCATACAAAATTGTTGATGCTGAGGGATTGTGCGTAGGTCCAATTAATGGCAAGTTTTTAAAGCGCTACTATTCATGAAGTGAAAGCCTTGTAAACTTCTAAGTAAGAGTATAAACTGCTTACCAAAAAAAATAAAGCATTGTTTGAACTACGTTGGCTTGATCTTGCAAGATAACCAGTTTATTTAACAAGTACGTAGGCAGCTTGACAAAAAAAAAAAAAAAAAAAAAAAAAAAAAAAAAAAAACTTACTCCTAGCCCGCAAGAGTATAAACTGTATATGGAAAAATAAAAAAAACACTCCTGGCTCACAAGAGTATAAACTATGTACGGCAAAACAAAACCAAAAAAAAACTATACTCTTAGCTCACAAGAGTATAAACTGTGAACGACAAAGCAAAGCAAGCAAAAAAAAAAAAAAGAGGGTGTACTGTTTGACATGGCACATGTATAATGAGTATGTTATGAAGGCAATCTCGTATTGGAATTTTGAGTAGGCCATTCTTAAGATGTCAAGTTCATAACGACTGGCATACATGACTTGACGCCTCCGATGAGTTCATAACAAAGGGTCCTGACTCATCGCGACAAGGGCGACTTCAAATCTTCAAGTTATCAGACCTGTCTTAAAGACGTCAAGATCATAACGACTGGCATACATGACTTGACGCCTCCGATGAGTTCATAACAAAGGGTCCTAACTCATCGCGACAAGGGCGACTTCAAATCTTCAAGTTATCAGACCTGTCTTAAAGACGTCAAGAGCATAACGACTGGCATACATGACTTGACGCCTCCGATGAGTTCATAACAAAAGGTCCTGACTCATCGTGACAAGGGCGACTTCAAATCTTCAAGTTATCCGGCCAGTCTTAAGATGTCAAGTTCATAACGATTAGCATACATGAATTGACATCCCCGATGGATTCATAACAAAGGGTCCTGACCCATCGCGACATGGGCGGCAACCAATGGCTATCTTGTGAATCTGTCATATGCACAACATTACAAAGAACAAACATACCAAAATACGCACACACAAAAAAAAAGTGTATTTATGTATGATGTATACGTGTGTAAACCATAAAAATTCAAACCTGCAATATGTAATTAAAGAGGCAGAATATAGAAAAATATACGGGAACAATTATTTTCATTGATAATTTGTGGGTTACAACTCTCGTAGATCTCTTGATTCCTCTCTCCAAAGGGCTAGGGTTTGATATTTGTTTATAGTACGGGGCCTTGTCGGCTTATTCCATACTATGGACCTACAATGTTTGGTAGTAGGGAGGAGATGGGGTGTTTGTGACTTATTCCATCTGAGCCTGATTAAACCCTAAATTCGACCCTCTTTATATAGAGAGTCGTAGAGTAAAAGATAATAATCTATGAGATTTTGAAGATAAATATCTTATAATTTTTTTATATTATCTCCTTATTTACATATATCTAATACCTAATAATTAACAAAATTTCGGTGTCAATAATGTGCAAATAGCCAAATATCACACAAAAAAGCACATCAACATGGCCAGAAATATTGCTTGGAGTTTCAGCAGCATCGTAATACGAGAGCAAAATTGTTAATTGAAACTTTGAAACAGAAAAAGTGAAAGTTAGGTATCAATTACTTATTGTTGTTGATAAGTAACTTGCTGCAACAATACTCCAAATTGTCACACCTCTTTACCGCAAACCGCTAAAAAAATAAAAATAGGGATGTCAGGGAAAACAATTCAAGAGTAATTAAAATTGAGTACCACAAATTGAATATCAATTACTTGTACCTTTTGCTGTTCGTTGCTACACCAAATCAAACCTCCTTGCCGCAACGAAAGTCAAGATTGGGAATTCGACAAATAGTCGAAATTTAGTCAAATTAAAGGCTGCAAATTTAACGAGTAATCGATTAGTCCTTGAATTGTTTTTGTGATTATATAGTCTCTTGGAGTTCGGCGGTGGACAAAATCCAAAATCACCCAAAATCTTATAGTTTTGGTACTGCACATCAATAAAGAAAAAAGCAAGATTGATTAATTCACCAAACTCATAACATGACAAGTCAGATCATCAAGGAATTGAAGTTAGGCAGCAATACAAGGTCAACATGCAACTCATGCAAACATGTATATCCTAGTTAACGGCTAGGTAATTAAGTTAAGGGGGAAAATAAATTACCTTGATTTGACTACGTGAGTAGGTAATACATAAGCGGCCAGCCGTCAATGATCAAAGTTGAGATGTTATCTCGGCAAAAAGAGGGTGTTGACAATTGGGTTTACATTGGTTTATATGAATGACAATCTTTTAGAAGATCAAAACCTAGTACAACTAGGAGTCTAACCTTGGGGCTCAAGAATTCCCATAAACCAAATCTAGTACTTCCATTGGTTTATATGGATGACAATCTTTTAGAAGGTACTAGTGACTTCCAAGTCAAATAAAAGGGTCGAGACCCTGTCACGCCAAACACTTCAAGTCGTGTATGTGACACAGTCTCGAGGGGGCAAATTGTAGACACGGAAATTTTATAAGTGTCATACATTGAATTAAATAAATTAATTTGGACAAATCATGTTAATGATCCATTTTAATTATTTTTGGCCCACCCAAATAAACAATCCGAATTAATCAAATACAATTCGGATTATAAAATAAATCAAATGGACCAGGTTAAAAGACTTTTAAGTCATAAAATGGGTCAGGCCCAGACCTACTAAGTCCACTCAAGGGGTTCTCATCTCCTATAAATACACCATTCCTCCATCAGTTGAGAGGATCCAGAAATCATTATTCCAAGAGCTCATAAAACTCAAACGGGATTATCTCTGAAGTAAGTCAACAAGCATATCAAACTCCTGCCGATTTGTTCAAATACACTCAAACACATTTGAACGGGACTAAGTTTCAAAGCCTTCATTCAGGTGTATTCAAACAAAACCCTTGAATACAGGTTGACATCATCAAATGTCACCCTGCATTCAAACTCAAGTCAACGTCATCAAACGTCAACCTACAGGTGTCACACACGTGTCATCATCAAGCTGCGGAACAGAATTAGAGGACTTAGTTTATTTTATTATAAACTGTTATACAGATATTGTACCCAAAATTCTTATATTAATATAAATTCATTTGTTACTTTATTTCCCGTCTTTATTTATTTAGACTCGAAATTTGTTAAACAAGCGCTAAGGGCATAGGGAAGCTCAGCATGATCTACCCTATATAACTAGACCCCTGAGAGGTAGTTTGAGGTACTCATGCCAAGTAGAGGGACATTTTGTAGTCAGGGCTCGGAGTACAAGGCAGCCCAGAAAGAGCTACCCTATACAATATGTTTTTCTTTGGGTCAATGATTTATCCCGCAGAAGGAGGCGTAGGCTTTTAATGAGAGAGAATGCAGGTTTTAACGAAGTAGTTGGATTAGTCAAAGGAACAAGGTTTGAAGCTTTTGAGGTGGATGACGTGGAAGCATTTTTTAAGGATAGTTGAGAATCTATTGTGGATATAGAGGCTTTGTCTTTTGTGGTTGAAGAATCAAACATCACATGTTTCTTAGGTGTAATTTTTGGTACAAACATAAGTTTAGTAGGTACATTTTCTACGTGGTTGGCCAACCGAGTAATTTCTGATGGAGTAACCCCTAAACGACAAAGCAATCCCTAAATAAATAACACATGTCACACATTATGGCCAACCATGTATGAAACTTTGTGATTTTATATTATATGGGAATTTAGTTTGGGTTTAGGTTTTTTTATTAAGAGAAGATAATTGTTAAGTACAATGTGTTTGTAATATCCCGTACATGTGTTTGTTGCATAAGTGGTTGTGTGTTTCACCCCAAAAAAAAAAAAGAAAAAAAGAAAAAAAAAAGTGGTTATGTGTACACGGTATTGCTATATTATGTTATAGGAGTATTCTTTATTTAATTGTATAAATAGCCTCAATTATTTATAAGTGTAACTTATTTTGTCCAAAAAATTAACATAAATCTATAACATTAAAAATAAGTAAACTTTATTCATTTGATTATCAGCTTTTCTTTTGTTTTAACTAATAGAAGGTTAACTTCACTTATTTAAACCTCATTTTTCCATTGTAGATCAAAAAAACTCATTTACGTTACTCGGGGTATGTTTGGCCAAGATTTTGTAAAATAGTTTATGTTTCTTAGAAGTGGTTCTCTAGAAACTGTTTCTAAAGAAACAATTGTTGGAAACATACTTGTTTGGCCACAAAATTTAGAAGTGCTTTGACTTTTGGAGAAATAGAAACAGTTTTACATTGTTTGGCCTGTTGAAAAATGTCATTGTATGGTCAGTAGGCCAAGCAAATGAAGAGTAATGTTTATTTCATAAAAGAAGATTAATGTTTTTTTAAAAAAAAAAAAAAATTTGTCTGATAAATGAAGATTAATAACAATTGAAGATAAATTTTAGTTGGTAAATGAAATGAGTACCCATGTTAATTTTTTTTTTTTAATTATAAAAGACCCTTTTTTTTTCCTCACATTTCTCTACTTTAGCCCTGCTAATGCTCTGCTACTTTATGCCATTAATACCTCCCACCACGACGACA